CACAAATTCTCGCAGAATGGGCTTCATGGCCTGGATTGGCGGCGTTCTCGTCGTATTTCCGAGCTACCTGGCTCAGTGGGCACTTCTGGAGATGGCAGGCGTTCCATACGCCGTCTGGTTATGCTACTACTACTAATCCAGTTGAGTAATACAATGCTGCTCTCAAACGCGATGTCACGGTGCATCGCAAATTAAAAATGGGGCTGCTACTGGAGCGGTTCATTGACTGGTGTTACCTGCAAAGCACACAAGCGAAATTCTCACACTTGTTCGTCAGATCAAACAAACAGCAGCTTCACCGCTTGATCGTCGTGAGCCTGATCCTGAGGTAAATTGGGGAACGCCGAAACAAAAGTCCACGATGTCAAGAGGGTTCAACTCTAAAGGTGCTGGAAAGTCTCCATTCACTTCGATTTACAGAATTATAAGGAATGGTTTACTTAGTGGTTCACTTTACACAGGAATTTTTGTTTGGATTTAGAAACGGGTTTGGAAAGACTTTTCATCTTCAGCGATTTAATAAAACAACTACATTTTATATTTAACTTTAACTTATTAGTTTTATCAAATAACCAAATTTGCAAATTTCTTTATAAAATTTTATCAATCGCAGAAGGCGAAAAATCTCCACTAACCTGATTCTTCTATCTAAAAAAACATTCTTTGCTTTTTCAATTTGAAGTGTTGAAATTCGACGCTTCAAACAGCAACTCAATTATTTTCCTTTCTTGTAAAAGTCTAACAATCGCAAAGCTGAGGCAAAAGAGGCAGGGAAACCTTCTGTATCAGGTGATGCCTGGTTACGAGAAAAGCTAGAATCCAGATTGGTGCTGGAAGAGATGGCTACACCAGCCATCGAGGTGCTGGAAGAGATGGATACACCAGCACCTCGATTTTCCGAGGCGTGAGCTCATAATTGCAATCTTCACCAGGCCGATTTACCGGTAATGCTAATTCGGGAAAAGAATAATCATAATCGGGCAAGACGGCGTTGGGAGTGCACTGATCTTTAAGTTAACTGATATCTAACGACATCGTTGATCAAGTTTACAGTGTTGAAATATTTTGCAGGTAGGCTTTACTTTCTTAACACTGTTCCTTACACTGTAAGGACTGATGAGGGCGAGATAAAAAAAAAGTGTATATGTTTTTTTTTTCATGTATTGAAGTACAAGTACTTTATCGACCAATCAGAAAGAATCAAAATGGGTTTTTAAGCGGAAATAATACCCACCCAATTGTATTAACCCACAATGATCATTTTGATATTTTGCCGTCTCATTGGTTATAATTAGTGTAGACCTTCATCGATGTTTGAAACTGATAAAAAAAAATCGTAAAAAAAAAAATGGCACGCAGCTATCGCCTCGGTGATACTTGGTTCGTCGTGTCATGTGCTTGACGTAGAGCCTCTACTAAAGACTACGGCA